GTGCTAGCTCCATAATTTCATTTAACATATGTTAGATTTTACTATAACCTGCCGGATTTTTTTCCCACCTACACGTTACCAAGGGGAAGGAAGAAAGAGGAAAAAAGAGATAGGGAGTAGGATAGATAGAGAGAGAGAGAGAGAAGAGAGAGAGAGAGAGAGAGAGAGAGAGAGAGAGAGAGAGAGAGAGAGAGAGAGAGAGAGAGAGAGAGAAGAGGGGGAGTGAACAAGTTAAGTTGGGCTGTAAGTAGGAAAGGGGGTGGTATATATACTTTTTTTTAATTTAGTGTACATACACACACACATACACACACAACACACACACACACACACACACACACACACACACACACACACACACACACACCACACACACACACACACACACACACACACCACACCAGACAAACACCACACAAACATGAACATATAAGTGCATGCGTGTGTTTGAATCCATAAGGCGGTTTTTTTGCTTTAGCCTGTCTCCCAACAAAGATTTGATCCCTACAATTCGGCGCTCTGGACACAACTGCCGCCGAGGTGCTCCTTCGGGCGTGTAATTGGCGTCGAGTGTAACATGAGTGTAATGCGTCTGACGTCACGAATACATATGACGATTAGCCACACGCACGCATATTCATGCACAGAGACTGATAGATAGAGAGAAAGAGAGGAGGGAGGGTGAGAGAGAGAGAAAGAGACGGAGGGAGAGAGAGAGAGAGAGAGAGAGGAGAGAGAGAGAGAGAGAGAGAGAGAGAGAGGGAGTAAAGTGAGTGTGACAGAGAGAGAGAGAGAGACAGGGAGAGGAGAGAGAGACAGGGGGGGGGAGAGGACGGGGAGAGCGAGCGAGAAAGAGAACGAAAGAGAAAGAGAGAGAGAGAGGGGGGGGGGGGGAGAGAGAGAGAGAAAGAGAAAGAAAGAGATATATTTGCGTGAAGCTCCGTACCCCACGGCATATAAGGGACTGCAGCGCCACACTCTAAACAGCGTGACGTGAAAAGATCTGCAAAAAGGGAGATAAAGAGGATAGAAAAAGATGGAACGGGAGGAAGTAGGAGAGAAAGAGAAAAAAAAAACGAGGGCTGGGGGAAAGGAGGAGAGTAGAAACTGTGAGAGAGGGAGAGGAGGGAGGAAGAAATAGACAGATGAGATAGATAAAAAGAGAAATAAGTAGAGGAGATGGAATGAGACAGATAGAGAGGGGGGGTCGGTAAAAAAGGCATGAAAGAAAGGGAGGGAAAGAGAAATAAAGAAGGCGAGAAGAGGAGAAAGTCACTTATACATACGAGTTGCATAGATCATTAAAACAAAAGCCATTTCACACGTGTTTTCCTTTTCGTCTCCTTCTACAATCCGTCTATCCTCCCCTTCATCTTCTTCCCTATCACCTCATTCCCCATTCACAAAGGGAAGCTTCGAAATTCTCTTCGAAACGGTCTCATTACGAAAACCTCAAGACACGCCTGCATCGGGAAACAAGTTCAGGATATGTTTGGCGGGAAATTTGAACCGTGACTGTGGCGGGAAATTTGAACCGTGACTGAACACCTTGCGGGTTGTGTGCGTCCCGCTCGGTGACCACATAACGGATATGCTCTGCCTTCTTTCCTCTCTCCCTCCTCCCATTTCCCAATCCCTCACTTTCCCCTTTCCCACACTTTTCCTCCGTCCTTTCATCTCCTCTCGATATTTTTGCTCTCCCTTCCTCCCTCGATTCTCCGCCTGCCTTCTCTCTCTTCTCCTCTCTCCTCTCTCTCCTCTTCCCCTCTTCCCTTCTCCCCCACCTCCCGTCTTCCAGTTTTCCCCCCTACTCCCCTTTCCCTTCCTCCTGCCTCTCCCTCCTCTTCCCTCCCTTCTTTCCCCTTCCTTCCTCTCCTTCACACCTCTCACAGGCTTTCCTTAAAACCAAAGCGGTGGCCACAGAGTCTTCCCAGCGCAATTAAGCGAGTTTATGGGCAATTCAATTATACTGTGTACATACAGTAAGTGGAAAGGTGTATACTTGCACGCACACAGACAAGCAAATGGGTAAATACACAAACACACACGCGCACACGCACACCTGATATATACGTAAATATATATATTACCTCTTGATCTATCTTTCCGTGTCTTTCTCCGGTTACCAGGTATCTTTTTACCTTTTTTTTCCTTTTTCTTATACATTTTGTAAGACAAATATTAATATAGGCTTTTATGAACAAAATACAGATTGTTATCAACTGATTATAATTCTGTATATTATGCAATTACCTTGCTAAACTGATAATTATTGAAGAATTAATAGTGTCTTCTTGTTATCAAGCTCTGTGGACACTTGGTAGATATCGATAAAGAAAATTATATGCCATTAGTATGTAAACAGAAATATAACATAGATATACAAACAAATATAAATATGTATACAATGGTGATCGCGGTGTCGCATATAGACGAAGCTGTGACGTAAATATGCAGCAAATATACTGAAATAACATAAATTAATAAATACATCTTATACATATTACCTAACAGACAAACAGATATATGATAGGCATACCTTAAGCATACATATGATGTAAACAAATAGACATGGATGTTGACATAAAAGACGGATAAATAGACGCAGAGATAGAAGTATAGAGCCAGATAGAAGAAGAAAGTATTTGTACGTTATGGAGTGATTTCAACGTTGGTGTAGGTAGTGATCTTTTCGTTGTAGAAATACGTGTATATTATGCTCTTGTGCTGTTGTGTTTTACTTATTGTTTTATCGTTTTATTGTTATTCGTAATCCGTACTTTTTATCGCATGATAATATCTTCAGAGAGGATATTCATATGATCGCCATTATCATCATTATCATTACAGTTATTATCCTTATCATTACTGTTGATGTTATCCTTATCATTACTGTTGATATTATCATTATCATTACTGTTGATGTTATCATTATCATTACTGTTGATGTTATCATTTATCATTAATCATTATCATTACTGTTGATGTTATCATTATCATTACTGTTGATGTGTTGATGTTATCATTATCATTACTGTTGATGTTATCATGTCATTATCATTCAAATGATCACTACTTAATCACTTCCAGAGATCTGTCACAGGTGATAGTCAGTCAGAATAAATAAATAGATAATTGTGCACAGAGGAGGACTTCCGGATTCTTGCGTCATTGATTATGCAAATGAGGATAAGATGAGATAAGCAGAACTAATGCGTTTCTGAAGGAAATCTTAGTGCTTTTGATTTTAGTTTTGTTATTATTTTTTCATCACTGTTTTAAATAATAACATCATCATCATCGTCGTCGTCGTCGTCGTCGTCGTCCATCATCATCATCATCATCATCATCACCATCATCATCATCATCATCATCATCATCATCATCATCATCATCATCATCATCATCATCATCATCATCATCATCATCATCATCATCATCATCATCATCATCATCATCATCATCATCATCATCATCATCATCATCATCTTCGTTATCATCACCTTTATTATTATTAATATCATCATTATTATTATTATCATTTTGATAATCATCATCATTTTACTATCATTACTACTATCATTGGACGCAATCAAAAAGACAACAGTAATAATGTAAAATGATAAAAGAACAACGAAACTAGAACACTGTTCAATCAATATCAAACACGCCATTAAAAAAATAATAATAATAAATAAATAAATAAATATACTAATAAAATGAAAAAAACAAATAAATATACAAGTATCCCCTACATCGTTAACGTATAACAAGCAATTACCAAACACAATAATTGTCATTCGTAAATTTATCCTTATATTAACGCCACGAAATAGATGTTAGAACCATTAATAGCGAAAAATAACGGTGATACGAAACGATTCCTTAATTAATAAATTACGGACTTCAAATAGTTACCATAATAACACTACGCCCATACACAGATGAATAGATAAATGCTATTGATCATTATCCAAAGGAAATGATTTAGATCACGAAGACTGAATTCAGAAGTCACGTGACTGGATGATACTGATTTCACAAATACAAAAAAATAAATATCATTAATAATAATAAATAAATTCATTAATTAATTAAATAACTTTTAAGTAGGAAAAATATGACAAGTAGGGGATCTATGGACGGTTGGTGAGGCGGGCGTAACGGTAACTAATTAATCATATGCTTAGGTTTGTGTGTGTGTGTGTGTGTGTGTGTGTGTGTGTGTGTGTGTGTGTGTGTGTGTGTGTGTGTGTGTGTGTGTGTGTGTGTGTGTGTGTGTGTGTGTGTGTGTGTGTGTGTGTGTGTGTGTGTGTGTGTGTGTGTGTGTGTGTGTGTGTGTGTGTGTGTGTGTGTGTGTGTGTGTGTGTGTGTGTGTGTAGGGGATGGGGGTGTGTATGTGTTTTAAATAGTATGAGTCGAATTACCATATTTATCATATCTATAATTACCTGTCAATCATTGCTTCTCTGTTTTATAACTCTTTTGTTCTTGATTTTTTAGTAGTGTTAGGCGATAATTCTTACACTGCCATCTGACTAAACCAATTCAATGTTCTTTTTAAATCAATGACTTTTTTGTTTTATTTCTGAGATTTTCATTCGATTTTCTTCTCGTGTTTATAAAAGTACTGCTTCTTCTTAAGATATGTCATTCCATCGTTCTATATCATCATTTACAAATGTTATCTATCAGTCGGTCATTGGTATAACCAAAATCATTTCAACTGTTTTGTTTCTTTCTCTTCTTTCTTTCTTCTTTTCCTCTCTTTATACAGTTACTGTTATATTCCTCATTTTGTGTTTAAAGTGTTACTGTTTTCCTTTGTTATCTCTTTTATTTCTGTCTTCTCCTATTCTTTTTTTCTTTTTTCTTTTTTTTAGCTGTTTTCTCGTTATTCCTCAATTTGGCTATCTACTTATCTATACATTTATCTATTCATCTTTGCGTGTATTTACTGAGCGTCCTTCCTCAATCCTTCTTCCTCGTCCCTCCTGCAGGAAGGTGTCCAGCCTGACGAGCGACGAGATCCTGAGCTGGGCCGACGGCGACCTCCTCCTGCCGGCAATCGAGGCCACGGAGGCGCCCCAGCACTGGCACACGTACGCCCACCCCCCACAACGAGGTCGCCGACTCGTGGTACTCCCCGCCCGCCGCCTCCGTGCCCTACCCCGAGGAGCAGACGTACCCCTGGGGCCCGGCGCCGCCCACACGCCGCCGCCGCACGCCCGCACTACCGCCCCGGCGCCCGCCGCGCCCGCGCCCAAGGCGCCCTCCCGCCGGCCCCCGCACGCCCCTACGCCCCTCGCCCGTCGCAGAGGCAGCCCGCCGCCCAGAGGAGGAGGACCGTCGTCCGCCGCAGGACGACCCCGCGCCCCTACCAGCCGGCGGCAGAGTACTCCTACGAGGACTACGACTACAACTACAACTACAACGACGACTATTACTACTACGACGACCACTACGACGACTACTACTACGACGCGCCCCCGCAGCGCCTGAACCGGCGTCCGAGACCAGACCGAGGCTCCCAGTACTACTACCCGACGACCCCCTTGCCCGCCTACTCCACGACCACCCGGCTCCCCGACACGACCGCGGCGACGACCCCCAGCGCCAGCCCGGCCTCCACGACGACCCTCAAGACCTGGACCGAGACCAGACCCACCAGCAAGTACGCCGAGACCATAAGAACGGTACGACCTCCTTACAAGACCGTGGACGACCAGGACTGGGCTCGATTCAACGCCGAGAAGAAGACATAGAGTCGTCGCTAACAAGAAGAACGGTACCAAAAGCAACCTTACACTATTGGTAAAAAAAAAAAAAAAAATAATAATGGTAATTATTAACAAAATTCTGGCGTCTTAGTCAAAGGAAATACTTATTTTGGCTTTATTGTTTTTGGTAAAAAGGCGTCGCTCATCTTGCAAGCTGGTTGGTTGGTGGAAGCTGCGTCTCACGATAAAACTAGAAAAAATCAAGAACTTAGACCCCCCCCCCCCTAAAAAAAATGATAAATAATAAACAAATAAAATATATAATTATAATAATAATGATAATAATGATAATAACAATAAATAAAAAGAAATGAGGAAAATCACTTTAAATCACTGTATCTTTTGACAGTAGGTACAGCCTTAAATTTTACCACATTATGCTTTCGTGTAATTTAGATTTATCGTACAGGAATTAACAATAAACCTAAAATTGATTCTTTTGTGTGAATCTGAAATCTGCTGGAAACTAGCCAATCAGCTGAAAGAGTTATACACACACACATCAGAATAATAATAACATTTTCATCACATATAAAATTTAAACAAGCAAATATGCACAGATTTTAAACTAAAAACTATTTTTTTCATTTTTTTCCGTAGATGGAGAATATTATTCTTCATCTTATTTACATGTTCATCATATGTTTCAAAATATTATCGAACAGTTTATCAGGAAACCGCTTTTAATAATACGCCGATAAGTGATATTTATTGTTAAGATGTAAATTCAAATACTGTTCTCTATTATCATTTTATTGTATTTAGTGTATTCGCTTGATATGGCATTGATCCAGAGCACAAACCACCTGAAAAAATACTCATTAGATATAGTTCATTTTTTGCAACATCTGCAACATGTGGAGTCGCTGAATGTAATTTTTGTTGACGTCTTGTTGTTCTGTTTTTAACTTTGTGATATAATAGTGCTCTTTTGTCTTGTTTTTCGTTTGATTGTTAAGTTTTATATTCTGTTTTTAAGTAGGCAGAAGAATTAAATTAAATTATTTTTGTTTCTGAAGATATTAAGTCGTTACCTGCTTATCAGTTGAAAAATATTTTAAATATGTAAATGAAAAGAGAGAAAAAAAGATGACAGGTAATGAAAAAATATCATTAGCTGTTGTACATTAACCAAGTGAAATTAACAAAGAAAATCGATTGAAACTCCTATGTGGCAGATGTTGCATGATTCTCCGTTTCTGTTTAATTTTATTGTTTTCTCTCGATATGTCTACACCATTTTTTTTATATTATTATTATTCTTTTTCTATCCTGCACCGTGATTTTATGTCTGTTGAATTTCCTGCAACACCAAGTTCATTTAAGTTCAATTTATCATAGCTCTTTAGATAGGTTATCTAATGTAATTTTTTTTCTTTTCGAAACAAAAATTGTGATAAACATTTCCTGAAAATATAAATATAGGTGAAACACGAAGAGGCTGATAATTGAACTTCTTATATGTTATTTATTCTATTCTAATTGTATTTATCAAATAGCCATCGAGAGTTGACAACCAGGAGATATATTGACATGCAACACCGACAAGTGGCTTTAAAAAATATATATATATATGATTGATAGACGTAAACACTTTATAATGATCTTAACGACCTCTTAGAAGGAGATAGTCAGAACGTTTCTCACAGACAGGACAGGTAACAATAAAATGTTTGGTGGACATAAGCCAATCTCAGCCACAGGAGGACGTGAGCACTTTCTGGTTGCCGACTCTCGATGTACTAGCATGAATTATTTATTGTAATTAAAGTGTTTTCGATGTTTTGAGTCTCTCACTTTCTATGTCTATCGATTTATCTATCTGTCTGTTTGTCTATCTATTTGTCTCTATCTATCTATATATATATATCTCTATCTATCTATCCATCTGTCTAGTTATCTATTTATGTATCTATCTTTCTCTATCTCTATCTATCTATCTATCATTCTCTATCTCTATCTATCTTTCTACCTCTATATATCAATCTCTCCCTATTTATGTATATATATGCTTTATTTGTTAACGTATTTATTAGTTTATTTATATATTGATGTCCTTCGCTCTGTTTCCCACCTTTTCTTTTCCGTCCAAATCGATTCCTGTTTCCCAGTGCCAAAGAGGCCTTTCGTGCTAATAGATCGTAGATTCCCTGTTATCTTGTTATCTGTTATCTTGTACTTTTGTATTGTTAAACTTTCATTGTTAAATAAATTATTAATCTGCTTGAAGAATTACAGTGTTTTATATATTTCCTTTTAATGTGTACATGTGGATCAGATTGCGATTTTTTTGGGGGGGGGGGTAGAAGGGAAAAAAAGAGAGGTGGTAGAGATTCAAGTTAATATAGAAAATGTATATATTATGTATGCACACACACACACACATATTATTGTAAGCTATATAAAGAGCCGCACTGTATTATATAGAGATTTATACCACCAAAGGTGTCAGTGCAGGTCAAGATACAGCTAAGACATAATGAGAAGATAAAAAGTCAGCTATTTAAGTAAGGAAAACATGTTAGCTGATATTTTAAACTTATCAAGAGTCGAAGAAGTTACAATCTCTGAAGGCAATCTATTCCAAAACCTACAAATGGCAGTAAAAAGCATCTAGAAAACTGACTGGTAGACGATCGACTTACATCAAATATCAATGAATTGAGGGCCATAGAACTTCTGGTAATTCTTACAGGTTGATAAAAATCAGGTAAAACCTTATAATTAGTGTATTATCGATTACAATCTTGTATAAAACTGAAAGAGCCCCAATAACCCTACGATGTCCATTGTTCATATTTAAGTCAGACAGAAAAATTTAATGGAATTAAAAGAACGATCAAGCAGTCTTAAGTGTGAGTCTGCAGCAGATAACCACACAGGAGAACAATACTCAAAATGAGGCAGAATAAAAGAAAAGAAGCATCTACGAGCAATGATGTCATCTTCATAGATTCTTCTTGCACTTGCGAATGATGAAATTGCCCGGGCCATATTCCTAATATGCAATTTAAATGTTAACTATAAATCAAAGGTTACACCTAAGAGCTTCAGGTTATCCACTGAAGTGATTAAGACTCCATACATAGGCAGACTTGGATGCTGAGGCAACTGCGTTCGAGACTGACTCACAATCATTTCATTACACTTAATAGGATTTAATTTCATGCCCCACCGAGAGCACCACGATTGAATTATCATCAGGTCTGCAGTGAGACTGTCAGCTACTATTTGCCTTGTTGCCGGAGAAGGAGTATCAGTATAGAGAGAAGTATCATAAGCATATGTCATTTTATTAGTAATGCCAGACCACATATCGCTTGTATATAGAATAAAGAACAAAGGGCCGAAAACACTACCTTGAGGAACCCCAGAAGACACAGGAATACGAGCTAAAACCATCAACATAAACACCCTGATGTCTACCAGTTAGAAATCAGTTAAAATACTTAAAACTTTACCACCAACACCAACAGATTGTAACTTAAAAAATAAACCCTTGTGATTTACAGTGTAAAAGGCTGCACCAAAATCCAAAGACAAGCCTTAACTCATGCATCATTGCAGCCGAGTCCCTTTCTAAAGCGTAACTGAGTCTATGGAAGAAACGGTCTTAAGTATATAGAGACGTTTGACCAGCAAACGTTAAAAAAAATAGGTAAAATTGGTGTTACTGAAATGGGCCTAGATTCAGTAGATGAAGATGTAGGGAAATAGGAGCAACATTACCAAAGCGCCAGCAAAAATGACCCTTTGCGAACAAAAACGCGTAACATTGCGTTAGTTTAGGAGTTATTTTCTTTTAAAATCAAAGGAAACAAGCCATTAGGATCTGCTCCACTATATTCATTCAATTCTGATAACAGATACTTGATTTCAGAAGACCTGAAAGCAAATGAATTAAAGCATGGTAATGGGTGACATGATTATCTATATATATATATATATATATATATATATATATATATATATATGTATATATATAAATATATATATATATATATATATATCATGTATATATATATATATATATATATATATATATATATATATATATATGTCATATATATGTATGTCATGAAATCTGTACATATATATATACACATGCGTGCGTGTGTAATTTATGCACGGCATGCAGTGGTATATGTATGTAATGAATGTCTGTATGTATCAAATACATATTTACACACATGCATATATATGAGGCAGAAAGAGAACGTCTGAGAATATGCTGTGTATACGTCAAGCCTGACTTTCCCTCAGCTGAGATCCGCGCAAGGAAACACCTTTGTGGATGTTGTTGGAAAATAAAAGAGCGTTTGACAAGAGGAATGAACATATATTTGACATGACCACGACAATACAGAACAGAAACCGTAACATTACAAAATCATGTAATTTATACAGTGAATGGAAAAATAAAATTAACCTATATCATTATTAGTAAACATGAAACATCTATAGCAGTCTTTCATAGAAAGTACATGTAGTAATTACCATTACAAATATAGATTTATAGACTCTAATTGGGCAGAAATACTGCCTACATGTGTAGCTTGTACTATACAAACGGTCTAACATACTGTCTACTGCTGGGGGCGTTGGTAGCATCTCTAGATTGGCAACACTGTTTTCTCCTGTCCTCTCGACGTCTTCCCGAAGGTCTGCCTTATGTGGCAATACATGCATGGAGGTTTGGATGGTCTTTAAGTGTTTTGGAATACTAATTTGTAGGTTGAGTAGGTTTTGCATTTAATTTTGTGTGAAACTATTCTGATGTAAAATGCAAAGCCGTAAAATGTGTGGCATTATTTACGTGTACCCAGTGCATAAAAATCTATAACAGAATGATGTGTTGTGCAATTTGTTCCGCCAATTGAGATCTCTCTTTTTTGGCGTTTTTTTTATATATATATCGAAGACCAGACTCTATAATGTGTTTTGGTTCATTCAGTTCATCCATACACTTGTGAGCCACAAAAGGAGCGACCTTTGCGGGATGGTTCGAGGAGAGGGTTTCGAAGCAGCGGCCAGCTCGAGGACGCCGCCATGCCGACAACCAGCACACAGGCAAACTATCCTACGTTACGAACGGTAGAAGCAAACTCTTCGATGATAAGATAGTTAAGAAATGATAATATATATGTATATATATATTTATATGAATCGTCATTGACTTGGCAAGAGATGAGCGCCTGAGGGAAAGTGTGGGACATCATTCGAGCACCAGAAGAGAGTTTTCTGGCACAGGAGGAGGCTCTGGGGGGGAGGGACGTCTACCAGACAGCCCTGAACTTCCCCGCTTGGCGTGACTTCGCCTCCAGCGGCTTTTGACAACCTCCTTGGCTCTCCGGGCGGCACTCGCCCCTGCGCTGATCGAAAGCCATGCCCTCGGGGCACGAAGATACCAAGTGCATCCGACGGGCGCGGCAGGTGAAGAACACGCGGCAGTCGCTCTCCACTTCGCCATGGACCCCGTCGGGCAGCGACTCGCAAGGGTTGATGTGTTCAGGGCACGTGATGACGTCCCTCCTCTCGCAGCGGCCGCTGATCGGGCTGTAGAGGTTGCCCTCGGGGCACCGGGAATGAAGCTCCTTCTCCTGCCGACAGGCCACGAATTCCTCGCAGCCAGCGCTCACGTCCGTGTAGCTCCCGTCGGGGAGGCCTTCGCAGAGGGGGCTGGAGGGCGAGCTGGTTCTCGAGGGGGCTGCGAGTGGATCGAGAAGCTGAGTCGCCGCAGTACCTGAGCTTTCGACTGCTTGGTCTGGGGGGGAGGGAGCGTCGTCTCGCGAGGCCGAGTGCTGTGCCGAGGGAGGAGGGCGCCCCGACGCCCCAAGTGAAACCTGGAGAGCATTCGCCACGGGCGCCCCGACCTCTGCTAGCAGCTGATCGGGAGGGAGATCCAGCCTGGCCGGAGAGGAGGGCGAGACTAGTCCGAGGGACGAGCACGAGAACTCGTAGAAGGGGACGCACTTGTACCCGTTGAAGACCTGGCTTTGCGGGCACGCCAGCGTCTGCGTCTTGACGCCTCCCTGGCACTGATAGTACACCTGGCAGAGCGAGGACAGATCCGGGTAGAGACCCGAGAACTTGCCGACGCAGTCGCGGTCGTCCGTGGGGCTCGGGCAGGTGTACGTAGACGCCGGGACGCACGTCCTGCCGTTGTGCACCTGCTCCCCGGGGCACGTGTGCGCGTACTTGACCCCGCCGTGGCAGTAGTAATATTTGCGGCAGCCGGCGAACACGTCCTGGTAGAAGCCGTTGATCTTCCCCTGGCACGAAGAGGGACTCGAGCACGTGAACGCCGCCTCCGGCACGCACTGCACGCCGTTGAACGCCTCGCCTTCGGGGCACGTGTAATTAATCCTGAGGCCGTCCCGGCAGTAGTAGAAGCTCCTGCAGGAAGTGTGCAAGTCCGGGTAGTATCCGTCCGGGCCGCTGCAGCGAGGACGCTCCCCCTTGGGCCCAGAAGGACACCTGTACTGCGCGGAAGGGACGCAGGTGTGGCCGTTGAAGACCCGCTCCGCCGGGCACTCGCGGGCGAAGCTCTTGCCGGCGTAGCAGTAGTAGTACCTGCGGCGGAAGGCAGTGTTAGCTCCTCTACAGCCTTAAACAAGTATATTCAACTGACAGTTGAATGAATAGATAAATGGTGAAAGAATATATGAATAGGTAAATATCATTAATATATTATATATATATATATATATATATATATATATATATATATATATATATATATATATATATATATATATAATATATTAACACATTGAAATTGACTTTTGATTACTTAGAAGTTTTGAAAAAGGTAAATAGTAAAACTAATAACAACAAAAATAAACATTTCAAATGAAGTACTGATTTGTACTGAGTAAAGTTACAGACTGGTTTAGGATATGTTGTCGATTTTGTTTTCCAACATTATTTTATTTGACATTATTTTACACATGTGATACTTCAAAAATACATACATACAAACATCCTCATTCTAACCACCTCTTTATCCATACCCGCCCAACACACACACTCCAATCTCCACCCACACCCACACCCACCCACATTGACTACCCCACGCACCATCCACACCCGCACTGGAACTTCCCACTCACACCTAACCCCACTGACTACCCCCCCTACCCATCCACCACCGCATCAGAACTTCCCACCACACCCTACACCCCACCCACATCACCCACCCTACTAACCCCACCCACCCATCCACACCCACCCACACCTACTCACACCCCTTCAACACCCATCCACTCCTACCCATCCACACCCACACCCTACCCCCCACCCATCCACACCCACCCACCTACTACCCCCACCCACCACCCACCACACCACCCACACCTACTCACCCCTTCATCCACTCCCACCCACACCTACTAACCCCCCCCCCTCCCATCCACACACACCACACCCCCACTCCTCCACCTCCACACCCACCCACACTACTAACCCCCCCAACCCCCCCCCCAATCCACACACCGCACTCCCCCCCCCCCTCCCCGCCGCTTCCCCCCACACCAGACGCACCTCCTGCACCCCGACTGGATATCCTGGACGAAGCCCTTGCGCCCGGCTCCGCACTCCTTCGCCCCGTCGACAGGACACACGTAGCTGGCCGTCGGAACGCAGACCTCGCCGTTGAAGACCTCCTCGTCGCCGCAGGTCCGCGTCGACACTCGTTCCCCCGCGCGACACTCGTAGAAGGAGCGACATCTGCGAAGGGCAAAGGGCGAGGTGATAGGCTGCGTTGCTTGTTTGTTTATAGTGAATGCGTTGTATAGTGAATGTGTTTGATGTGTTGATTTTTTTTTTATTTTATATTATCATGGGGGTATCATTATCATTATTGGTATCGTGTTTAGAATCACTTCCACTAATTTGGATGTTATTCCATCCTGAAAAGCAGTTTAGAATGATGAAAAAAATAGAAGGATGCACTTAATAGCAATGCTTAAATCGGCCAGCCGTGTCCAGCTCTGTGGTAAAGCATCCTCCTGCAACTTGGAAGTCCTCCTAGGAATACGTACCTGGTGGAGAGATCCTGATAAAGACCGTCGGGTTTGGCCAGGCAGGCGGTGCTGACCCGCGCCGGGCACGTGTAGAAGAAGTGGGGCACGCACTCCTTCCCGTTGAACACCTGCCCCCCTGCGCACGCGCACGCGCAGCACACAGCAGCACGTCCTCTTGGCACCGGAAGTAGCCCTGGCAGCCTCGGTCCGTGTCGACGAGCGTCGCGTTGAGCCGCTGGTGCGAGCACAGCGTCGCCGCCGGACAGAACACTTGCGCCGCCGGCTCGCACGCCCTCCCGCTGTGCAGGCGTCCTTCGGGGCACTTGAACTCGATCTTGACCCCCGAGAAGCACTGGTAGTAGGAGCTGCAGCCGCTCTCCAGGTCCTGGTACACGCCGTCGCCTCGCAGAAGGCACTCGGGGGCGCCAGCGATCACCGGGCACTTGTAGGAGTCCTGGGACACGCAGCCGAGGCCGTTGAACCTCTCTCCGGGGGGGCAGGACCTGACGAACTGCTTGGCGCCCTCGTGGCAGTAGAAGAAGCGCGTGCAGCGGGAGGGCACGTCGAGGTAGTAGCCGTTGGGGCGCGAGGCGCAGTCGGCGTCGGCGGAGAGGGAGCGCGCCACCCGGTTGGTGAGGTTGGCCGCCAGGGGCGCCAGCGGCGGCCGGCTCGCGGGGCACGGGTACAGCACGGGGTCCACGCACTGCTCGCCGTTGAACACGTTGGTGCCCGGGCACGTGTGCTCGCTTATCTTCCTGCCGCCGCGGCAGGAGAAGAAGGTCCTGCAGCCGGTCTTCTCCACCGTGTAGTAGCCGTCGATCTTGTTGGCGCAGTCGGGGCGCGGCGCCTGCGACGTGCACAGGGCGTTGGTGTCCTCCACGCACTCGCGCCCGTTGAACACGAGGCCGCGCGAGCACAGGAAGGCGCGGATGAACTGCTGGTGGCGGCACCGGAAGAAGCCGCGGCAGTCGGAGGCGGCGAAGAGGCCGTCGTCGCGCCCCTCGCACGACCCGCGCCCCTCGCCCCAGCAGGAGAAGTTCGTGGCCGAGACGCACCGCTGCCCGTCGAAGATCTGGTGGCGAGGGCACTCCTGCAGTTCGACCAGGGCGCCGTTGAAGCACCTGAAGAAGGCGCGGCAGGAGGCGTGGGGCGCCGCGTGGAATCCGTTCACGCGCCCCTCGCACGCCTGCTCGTAGCACACGGAGGAGGAGCTCGGGACACACCGCTGAAAGAGGAGGAAAAGGGGTGAGGTCTTGGCACCAAAGGCTTTCCCTTCAAAAAAAAAAAAAGGTTTCTTGAAATTATTAGAAAACATTATATATATATATATATATATATATATATATATATATATATATATATATATATATATATATATATATGTAAGTTTTGTTACTGTTGTTGATCTGATTTTGTCTTGTCAATAAGTTTGGAATTAGAAATAATGGGCTCACTAAATTTTCCTTATTAGTATAAGTCCATCCTTATAGTAAAAGCTACCCTCTATCATAGATTGCATGAAAAATTATATTATCTAAATAACTGTTTTATCTTAATTCCTGCTGCGCTCAATCAGTTTGCTTATTTATAATTTGGTAATAATAACCAACATATGATAGCATGTTTTCAGAATTTCTCTCTATCTATCTATCTATTTATCTCTTTTTCTCTCTCTTTCTCTCGCTCTCTCTCTATCTATCTATATCTGTCTATCTATCTATCTATTTTCTCTCTCTCTCTGAGTTACGAAGACAGACTACAGAAATTAGGACTTACTACCTTGGAAGAAAAAAGGAAAAGGGGGGGCATGATTATGCTTTTCAACTGTATTACAGGAAGAGTGAAGATAGATAAAGATTTTTTTATCTTGAACACAAGAATAACGAGAGGACACAACAAAAAGTTGACAGCAAAAAGAGTTGATAAAGATGTAAAAAAATATAGTTTCCCAAACAGAACTATTGAATCGTGGAATAGTCTCCCCAATCAAGTAGCTTGTGCCAAAACTGTGCATCAATTTAAAAAGTTATACGATAATTTAAATATAACAGACGTATTCAAACAACTAGGTAAGAACAACAAGGTAAGAAC